AAAGAAAAAGAAAATATAAATTCACAAATAACAATGGATCGAACATTCAACAATTGCAAAATATCATCCAATAATTTCGAATAAATGATCCTACAGCAATACAAAAAAAAAAACAAAAAAACAAAAAAAAAGTAACACAAAAAAACAAAAAAAAAGAGGAATTTGAAAAATTAACAGTAAATAGAACAATATTCTGTGATAACCTTCGAATTATTTATTCAAACACTTACTTTATCCAATAATTCACCGATAGCTTTTGCATGTGCTTTATTGAAGCTATCACGATTGGGAAAACGATGAGGAAATGGACATCGAAAGAATTGCTCTTTTATTTTTTTCGATTTAAAAAATATTCCATGCAATAAAGTTGAACCAATTACTGTTGGACCTTTTGTTATGTAAACTTGACGCCAAATATTTCGTATTAAGTGAATTTGTGCCGATGTAAGAGAAGGCAATGTATCCGTTGAACGATGTCTATTTAATGTTCGTTCCATCTGTAATTTATCAATTCCTTTATTTAATTCTTTTCTTTATTTTCACACAAATATACTATTTATTTCTTACATTTTCAAACTAAAATATTTTATTTTTGTTTGTTTGTTAACGAATGAAAAATGAATGATTTTGATGGTAAATATCATTTCAATTAAATTTTAGAAGCAGGAAAAAGAAAAATTCACTACTTCAGATATGTATTGTAAAATTAAAAGAAATGAAAATTTTTGCACTGCTCAAAAACGATGCTACAAAATTTGCTGAAGTAATTCATTTTTAAAAATATTTTATACTACAAGCATACTTAATTTTTGCACCGTAATTGCTTGCAATTACGATACAGAAATTAAATGTAAAACAAAGAGTCAATTACCTGCATATTATAAAGTCGGAAATTTTGTAACGATGATTTCTTTTTCCTTTCATCTAATTTTTCCTTATCATTTTCATTCAAACAACTGCTTATATCCCCTAATGATAATCCATGATATTTAGTGATTTGATTGTCTTCTATTTCCGGAGTACTATCACTTGGTTGATTGGAAGAAACGGAAGAAGACGAAGGTATATTGCTACTTTCATCATTTACATTTGTCACAAAATTGCATAATGTTGACATCTGAAAATTTTTAATTTCAACTTAAAGTATTTGAGAAAAAAACTAAAACAAATATTGATGAATTATATGTAATAATGTTTGCAATACGAAAGGTGGTGTTTTATCGACTAATTTATTTATATTGAAAGGTATTTGAAGTAGAAACAAAACCTGAGGAACAACGACCGGTTGCTTTCGAGTTGCAGTAATTGGAGAAGATGAAAGTTCATCGAATTCACCAATAAAATTATCCTCCACTTCTCTGTAATGTAGAAACTGAAATTATGGGAGAAAAAAACGTTGAAGAAATATTTCAAAAAAAAAAATAATATTATTTCAAATTAATTAGAATCATATCATTGATCAATAAAAATCGTATAGCATTAACCAGTTGAAAAACTTCACCGATATTCAACATTTCATTATCATTTTCATTAAAAAAATAAATAAAATTTCAAGTGATCATCATAAATCAGATATGATAAAGCAGCACTAACGTGGAATCATTATCCAAATTCGTAATCACAATTGTAGGCTTCCTTGATCGCTTATCGCGTCGAAAGGATCCCGATGGACTTTCCAGACTGAAATTATGTTAATGCATCTTTTATAAAAATATTGATTAGAAACTTAAATGTGTAAGGTAAAAAATATTCATTTCCAAAGATAATTAATGAAATAAAATATTTACCTAACGCTCGATGATAATTCCATTGCTACAGATGACTTTTTTTGACTTGATGAACCGGTATGCTTCCTTTCCTACAATAAATGAGCAATTAGATTAATTAATATACCAATCACTTAATGTAGAATAATTTGTAGCGATTTTAACATAGATTAGTTGAATTTTATTGAATTTATCGTTGAAATTAGTTTGGAAACGTTGATTTGATTCATACAACATCCGGACTATTCTAAAGCCTCGTTAGCTCAGTGGTAGAGCGTCTGTCTCGTAAACAGAAGGTCGCTGGTTCGATCCCAGCACGAGGCATCGCTGCATCTCTCCGTTTGCTAAAAAGTTTGAACAAATCGAGCATCGCATTTGTCTTATTAAAGTAATCAGTCGATCAATTGATTCTTTTTCCTTTATTGCATGATATGTCATGAAATGATCATTTAATACTGACAAAATCATTATATTTAATTCACAAGGGAGAAAATTTAAGAAATGAGTGTTTTCGGTATTTGTTTGTACAGAATAATAGGAAATTTTAACGATGTTATTTTCATATAATAATTTTATAAACTTCAATCGTATATTTGAGAAAATAAATTGGAATTTGAAGTATTACTATATATATATACAATGCTTAGAAATTATCATTTCAAAATACAAAGGGTAAAGGAAATGGTTTTTAATTTTAAGAAATTTAAACTTCATTTTCATATCCTTTATCCAATAGCCAATAAATCTTTCATATTTTTTGAAGTTTCTATTGCACTCTTTTCACT